ATTTTTGATTGACACTTGTGCAGCACTTTCTATCATTTGATCAGAAGAATTATCTCTACCTCACTTCTGATTCTATTCAAGCTAATGGAGTTTCTCAACATATTTCATTATCTCTGAGGTTACTTCTATATCTCTAGGTCCTCTTAACACTCACCATGCCTTTCTAATATCTGATTCTTCAGCTGCAAAGATTTTTGATAGAGACGTGTTATGTAAATTGACTGCTACTTTATAATGTAATGAAAATAGTATTTTTATGTCTCTGCCCTTAGATGAAACTCCAAACTTCTTACTGTCTTTAATGGAAACTCATTCTGATTTGATTCCCTTGATCAGACTATCCTAGAGGGTGTCCCAGATAGCCTTTGGGCAACATATGTAAATGAAACCCGACTACTACTATGTTTAGAGCCTTTAAGCATCTCCTGGAAAAAAAAAACAAAACAACAACAAAAAAAACCCTTTTTCCTCAGGAATACCTTAGCTGAATACCCGCTCTTACGAAATGCAGAACTTGGAATTACACCTATAATAGATTCCCTTTTACAGCAGAAAGGACTCATTTTTACCACCTCACCCTGTAACATCCCAATTCTACCAGTAAAAAAGGAAAATTTGATTCAGATGGGAATCATATCTACTGAATTGTACAAGATCTGAGAGCCATAAACTCCTTTGTAATCCGTGTACACTCTGCTGTACAAAATCCAGTTATAATCCTTAATCTTGATTCCTGCTAATGCAGCCTGGTTTACAATGACTCATCTCTGCTCACCTTTCTTTTCAATTCTCTTTGCATTTACCTTCAGAGGGAGACAATAAAGACCTGAATACTCCAAGGATATTCTGAATCTCCTTAAATATTCTCTCCAATCCTCAAGGCTGATTTAGACTAATATCTTTACCTATGGGTCCACTCTGGTTCAGGTCATTCATGATGTTCTACTCTGTAATCACTAAACAAGGTTCCCTCTTAGACTCTCTCTTTCTACCAAAAGCTCTAGTTAAAAAAAGACCATAAAGCCTCTCAGTCCAAACTCCAGTGGGTATAGACCACTATTTTATTACTTAGTTAGGACACAAAATATATCAAGGCACTCAAAAACTCACCCCAAAACAACTTGAGTCAATTTTGTCTATCCCCCTTCCCCAAACTAAAAAATAACTACGTCAAATTCTAGGAGCAGCTGGCTACTGCCCCCAATGGATTGCCAACTTTGCTGCCCTCACTAAGTCATTATATTCCCTCCTTCCTGACAGTATCCAGGAGCCGACCCTCTGACCCATAGAGGCAATAGACTCCTTAAAACTCTCAAATTAGCATTATCCCCACCTCTTTCTCTGGGCTTACCTAGTTTTGATAAGCGTTTCCATTTGTACTGCCATAAAAATGATGGAATTGCTGCTGGTATTTTCCCTGTCAGATCTGTCCTACAGTGTATATTTCATGTCAGTCAGATCCGTTGGCTGCAGGCATGCCCCCATGCTTATGTGCAGTAGCAGCAGCTGCCACCCTAATTAACAAAGCCAGCATCCTCATACTAGGTTCCCCTATTCATCTACATGTTCCCCATGCTCTCTTACAAGTCCACAAACAGCATCTCTCTACTCGATGATGGACCACCTATGAACAATCCTTACTAACCAACCCCCCCCAATTATTTTACATGATTGCAACATTTTAAATCCAGCTACACTCCTACTTCCCCCGATGATGAAGACCCCCACTACATTTTATGTGACTGCCTTACAGCTGTTGATGTGATTTTAAAACCATGAGAAAATTTCTCAGTCGTTCCTTTAGACATACCACACTTAATTTTCTTTTGTGAAGGCTCTTGCAAACGTGATTTCAAAGATAGTGTAGGGATCATGATGAAACTTGCCATTTTCCCTTGGTTGGTTCACTGAAAGATCTCCTCACAATAATGATAGATTAATAAGAGAAAGGTTTATTTCCAAATATCATGTGCATGGGGGGAAACCACAGAAATCATCTAAAGTCTCAGTGGCTTTTGTTCACTCTGATGTTCAGAGACTTTTATAGATGCCTTCTGGAAGGGAGAGGGGAGAATATGGAAAGTATAGGTGGAGGAAGTGGTTGCTAGGAGATAGTGTGTTTAGATGGGTGGAAATAGATTTATCTGTAGATTAACCTCAGAGTCAGGTATCCTCCTTCAAATGACCTTGGGGTAGATCAATGAACATGTAAAAAGCAAGTCAGTAGCCCTTTCTGATTCTCATTCAGGTTACCCAGATTTTATTTATTTATTTATTTATTTCAGGTTTTTGCTGGGGCTGGGTTTGAAACCGCCATGTCCAGCATATGGGGCCAGCGCCCTACTCCTTTGAGCCACAGGCGCTGCCCCTATTTATTTATTTTTTATTTTCTTTAGATAGAGTCTTACTATGCCTCCCTTGGTAGAGTACCTGGCATCATAGCTCACAGCAACCTCCAACTCTTGGGCTTAAGCCATTTTCTTGCCTCAGCCTCCCAAGTAGTTGGGACTATAGGCGCCCACCAAAATGCCTGGCCATTTTGTTGTGGTAGTTGTCATTGTCATTTTGACCCAGGCCACATTTGAACCCGCCACCTCTGGTGTATGTGGCTCGCACCCTAGCTGCTGAGCTCCAGGTTCCGAGCCAGGTTACTCAGGTTTTATGTAGATAGAGGAAAGGCCTCTTTTAATGCTTCCTGATCATGAATGGCCTTTAACTCAAAATATTCTTTATGCCAATAAGTCATATATTGGGGCAAAATTTCCCTAGCTCCTTCAATAATATAATAGCTGGCTATGCTATAATTTCTCTACATGAAACCCTGGAGGCATATCCCCTGCTTACTAAAAGCTGCTAAACTTATAGCCCTCACTAGAGCTTCCACATAAGCACAAGGAAAAACTGTCACTATTTAAACAGACTCCAAACATGCCTTCGAAGTCTGCCATGCAGTTGTCACGACTTGGAAATCTTATAGTTTCTTAACATCAGCCGGCACCCCTCTTGCAAATGGGCTAAAAATTGCTTCCCTATTACAGCCATTCACCTCCCCTCTAAGGTTATTCTTATTTGGTGTCAAGCCCACACTAAAGAAACAGATGCTGTATCTCTAGGAAATGATAGAGCAGGCAGAGCTGCAAAACATGTTGCCAAAATGGTCACCCCGATCCTTTTTCCATTCAACCTATTACCTTCCCCTTATCTTTATCTGCCATCAATAATCATCAGATTAATACCCCACAGCCTGAGAAGGATAAATGGATACATAATGGTGCTAAACAGTTAAATTGATTATATACTGAACCAAATGGACTCACCATGGCCCCTTTTCCTTTAGCTTTTTGGCTTGCATTTATCCCTCACCAAATGGGACCTATGTGCAAATGGGCAATGATTAAAGAACTAAAGACTAGTTGGTACTGCCCTGAGATCAGTGAATTATTGTATCTTTAATGTACAATTCCTCTGTGTTGTACTCTGTGTCTCTGCCTGTATCTCCAGGGGTACATGCTCCATTTGAAGTCCATTTTCTCCTTGACAATAGGAAACTTACACAAACAGGATGTTGGTGGAAGAAGAGAGAAGTAAAACTTAGCTTTCTGTGTCCTCTGGTTTTCCCTTGGCTGGCACTAGCTATGTTTCAGAAGTGAGCTGGAGGCTCGGCACCTCTAGGTCAGCGGCTAGGTGCTAGCCACATACACCAGGTTCCAACCCAGCCCAGGCCTGCCAAACAATGACAACTACAACAAAAAACTAGCCAGGTATTGTGGTGGGTGCCTGTAGTCCCAGCTACTTGTGTGGCTGAGGCAAGAGAATCACTTAAGCCCAAGAGTTTGAGGTTGCTGGCTTGGCACCTGTGGCTCAAGTGGCTAAGGCGCCAGCCACATACACCTAGGGTGGCGGGTTTGAATCCAGCCCGGGCCCGACAAATAACAATGATG